AACTCGTTTAAAATAACATCAACCAATGCAATTGAGAAAGGAGATGGAATAAATGCAGGCAAGTCAAGTTTACATATGTGTGTAGCACATTTCAGCATAAAGGCAGTTCAAGTTGCTTCACATCATTAAAAACATCATGCAGTCACCTATGGTGAAACAACCAATAATCATCACATTTAGTCAAATATCATCAGTATCACCAGTACACATCATGTCAATCGATCCGTTTTCAACTGATTTTAGGTCATTTCAGCCATTTTTGCAGTTTTAGATAACGAGTGGCTGGGTTGAACAAGCTAATGGCCAATTTAACTAAATATTGCTGCGTTAGCCTGTGTAATATTTAATTCTAAGTGTAGCTTTTGAGCTGTGCACCCAATATTTCAAGAACGTTGGAATGCAGTGGAGAAAAAAAAGAGGCAAAAAACGCACAACTGAAACAGCAAAATAATATATCATTTATGAGCATGGTGACTTTGTGCAAACATCTGAGCAGTGCTGTTCATAGTGACAGAAACAAAAAAAAACAACAACAAAAAAAAAAAAAAAAAACAAGGATCCAAAGCGAATTTTCCAGTCAGAAAGAAGAGGATTAGTCATTCAGAATGCTTCTCTTGTGTTTACATTTCTCTGGTCAGCGAGTTTTTAAATGGTTTTCTTTTTAGACATCAGCTTTTTGTATGAATGTAGCATTTCCCTCCGCCTTTGATTCATGTTGAAAGCAGACAGATAAACATGGTCTGGCCATGCGAATTGCATTCATCACTGCAGTGGAAGAAAGCAGCTCATGGAGCGGCCGCCGATAATGACACATTTTGTTCCCCCTCCTCATCGCTGGGCAACTTCTTTTCAGTCTCTAATCTATAACCGGAGACTTGCTGCAGTCAAACAACAGCTGAGGCTTAAAGTCTTTTTTATCCCCATCGCGGAGGCTTAATGGCTGCACCAGACTTTCCAGAAATCGTCGTGTGCGTTTGGGAAGCTTTGCGAGAGAAATCTGGGTACGATTAGCCTGGAACTGTTGGACAACGTCATCTGCCAAAAAGTCTGAGAGCTATACATGGACAGGCTGATCAGTGAGCAATGAAAGGCCCTCCTTCACAGCTGATGGGAGTCACGCCACCAGGAGGTGTCAGACTGACTGTTGGACAGACGCGCCCAGCAGAGCGGGAGCTGCGTCATATCTTGACCAGAGCCGCGTCTCTGACAGGAGGTCTGTGTTGAGGTTAACGAGATTCAAATCCATTGTTGCTCCAGCGCCTGTCACTGGCTCAGTGCATTCAATCTGAGGCAGCTCGCTCAGTCAGAAGGGGACTTGTCTTGAAAGGTTTCCCACCAGGCCCTCCCTTCGTCTGTTCCCGTAAGGAGTTCCTGTCCTTTCGTTTAATTGTTTCCAAACCATTATCTTCCGCATTCAGTCCATTCTGAAATATTTTAATGTTTTTGTTGTTATCGTTCAAAGCAGACGGGTGTTCTTTCAAACGAGCACGCTGCCTTTTATCGGCGCCGAGAGTGGAAATTCCACACTATCATTTCATCTCTGTCTCTCCCAGGCTCATATTGTGGACGGACCCTGCGGTTTGAGCTGTTATTGTTTTCAGGCATCTAATGGCCCACTGCAGATAGGAAGGTGTTTATGAAAACTATTGGTCAACTCTGATACCTTGCAGCTGTGAGGTCTAAGATCACTTATTTATATGCAGTGTCCTTTATTTGTTTGTGAGGTGAGAAAACCCCAGTTTTAGTTATTTTTACAGATGCCTGAACACAAATAAACGCATTTAGGCATGTAGACATGGCCAAGACCATCTGCTGCAGTTCAAACATGGCTGTTGGTGCCAGACGGGCTGGTCTGAGTATTTCAGAAACTGCTGATCTACTGGGATTTTCGCGATCAACCAACCATGGTTGGAGGTGGCCCTCCAGGACTGGAATTTGACTTCTGTGCCTCAGCTCAACATTATCAGAACAAGAATCCAGACAAACCCCTACTAGTTTATAAGTCACAGACTTATTCTTAAACATGGGGTTATACTGTTTTTTTTTCTTCTTTTGCTCTTTCCTTTGGTTTGTTGTTTTATTGTATCTTTGTCTAATTCAAGCAAAGCACTTTGAATTGCCTTGTTGCTGAAAATGTGCTATATAAATAAAATTACCTTACCTTACAGACAGCGAGAAATAAAGGTGTGTGTGTGTTTTCATTCAGTAATCATAAACATGTGTTTCCAGCTGTAAATGTCCAGCCACACATTACATATACCCGCTTTATTTTTGCAGGTTGCTGGGGAACAGATGCATTTGGAGCAGCCAGTAAACCTACAAACTTACAAACAGTCAGTTGATGAAACTGAAGAAAAACCATTCATGCCCAGGGAAAACATACAAACTTTACACAGAAAGGCCCAAACAGGGATTCATATCCAGGGACTTGCTGCAACAACAAGTATCTAAACTTCTCTACTGCAGCTCTGATTGGATGCTTGCTCTGCAGTTGTCCAAGTCTCAGATGTCTTCCTTGGTCTCCATGATGCTATTTTTTTTTCCAATGATGTTCATGATGCAGTTAATGCTCAGGAAGGAACGCATTAATATAATAATAAATATCAATCCATGCATCCTATCTCCAGCAGCCACTGGACGAGAGGTGGAGCACATCTGGGACAAATCACCATTTCATCACAGGGCAATTACATTTACAAATGAAACATCTACTTATATAAATGTTGTGACACATAAAGTAAAACGATATCTAGGGCCTGCTGAGGTGTTCAAATGTAACTGGTGTTGCTATGTCTCGCCGAAACCCTGGAATAAACTAACGTGTCGATGAACGGTGACTCTGAAAGCTGAGCGCCAGCACAAAGGGGAGCGCTTTTCGAAACGGCACAAAACTTGGGAACAATCTGTCAGGCTTCCTTACAGCTTTTCCTGCAGCAGCTCAGAGACCTGCCACAATTCATTTATGCAAATGAAGGAAATTAGTTTCCCAAACAACACGTACGGTGTTTGACTGGAAGCATCCCATGCTGTGCTCAAAGCTAAATAAGAGAACTCTTGACATCTAAGAACGTCTAAAAACTCTGGATGTTGCAGTGCACTGTGCATGCTGTCTAATTGCTGAATAATTTGGAAATCTCAATAAAAAAATAAAAAAACATGCGAGTTGCAGGGAATAAAAAGCTTTGCCAAAGTGACAGAAGCTTTGTAAACTTATTTTTCTTTGTTCCTATCATTTCTAATAGATTCATTTGGGAGAGGACAACATCTGTATAGTTTAATCATGCGTCGTGTTCTTTGCCAAAACTCTGCGCTCTCTCTCTCTCTCTCAGACTCTCTCCGACCTACATAAAAAACTCAAAGAACAATTCTGCCTCGGCACTGACAATTAGCCGAACACTTTGCAGAAGTACAATACGATGCACATGAGGGAAAATGTTAGACTTTACCTAGAAAAAGAAAATATATTTTATAGTAAAATTAAATAGCTGCTTTTAGAAAGTATGTAAAATGACTATTGATTTGAAACACAGACAAAAAAAAATGTTTCTGCATTTACTGCATTCATGTTTACCAGTTTAGAGTCCCTGTCCACACTGATATGGATTTTTATCAACACACACTGTTGTTTTGGAGCGTTTCTTCACACACAAACTGTATTTTTAATGAAGAAAAACAGAATAAAGAAATCGATAAAAAATAGATTTTTTTTAAAGCTCTTCATTTTTTTTTTTGTATCTGTGTGGAATTGCGAGAATAACATTTTGAGAGATAACTATGCCTATGTGAACCATTTATTCTCACTGTAGAAACAGGCTAAGTTAGCAGGAGAATCTGATCCATGGCCTGAACACGTATATTTTCTAAAATGCTACACTGATTTTACACCAGTAATTCGGTTTCCATTTTGTGTATTTTTATCAATTACAATTGTGATGGGATGTAAAACAATGGTAAAGCATGTTTTCTGTGTGTGTGCTGCAGTGACTGGACACGATGCATCAAATGATAGAAGTTCTTGCTGCATTTGTTGTGTATTTTCAGCTCATGCATATGTTAATTTTAAGTAAAATGTATCATTTTGCAGAGTGTATGTATCAGTATCTGGTCTGAAATGCATGCAGCTGTATGAAAATATATATTTAAAAAAAAACAAGCAATTAATTTGGTCTTTGATTTTTGCTCTCCTTTAACCGATGACACTGACAGAAGAGTTAGTGACATCACCTCTGTCTGGTTGCAGGTTGGTCACCATGGTAACCCGGCGGATTGGTCAGACAGGGGCTACGAGGCATGGACATGAGTTATTAACACTGAAAGGACAATGAAGTGGCACTAAGCAATTTTTCTCCATGAGATTCTAACACGTCTCATGATTCCACTACGTCATGCCGCCGTGCGCATTCCCACATTGTGCATTTAAATTTCAAATTGTGAAGGTCAAATATCTTTGACAGTTGTTCCCTCTTCTCGTGTGACGCACCGATTATCGTGTCACTTTTTATCCACAATTTTTGGGTAAAGAGATAGAAGAGAAGCAGACAAAAGTGAGATGACAAAAAAGTCGATGCATAACACAACAGGCTCTCCAAAATACATTAACGAAATCAAAATAAGTTTACATGTCCTGGTTTCTAGTTAGATGGATGAAGTCAAGAGAAAGGTCTGAGAACAGCAGTTTGGAGATCTAATGGACTGGCACTCTAATCAAGGATTTAAAAGCGCTGGTTGATACGCTGTAACTTAACATAATTGAAAATGGACACTTACAAAAAAAAACAACAATCAACAAAGTAAAATGAGGTAGAAGTAATCCCTACTTTCTGTTTTGAATGGTGTCCTAAGCTAAAGACTGCGCAAAGAAAAAAAAAAACATCAGTAGTAAATGAAAGAAGTTAACATAAAGCAACAAAAAAAGCAGAAAATGTTTTCAAATATCATCAAAATCATCAAAAGTCATCAAAAAATATTAGAATGAAGACCAGCTTTAATAATTCCACTCTGTACAAATGTGCTTTTAGCCTTGATTCAAAGGAACTCAGTATTTCAGCATTTTTGCAGTTTGCTAGAAGTTTGTCCCAGAGTGTCATGATGGGTTTAACGGATTTTACCCACATGCAGGAACACCAAAGAGACGGATGTAAAAAAAAAGAAAATTTTATTACAGCAAGCAACACTTAAAGGAAGGCTGGTCCGGAAAACCGCTTGGCTGATCTGGGTGCACTGAGGAGATAGAGAAGCGAGGTGAGTTCAGGTGACTGGGAAACGGGAGATTGCGAATGAGAATAGGTAAACTTACTGGAGCAGAGCGTTCTAACGGCTTGGAGGGGGTTGGTTGGTCCTGGAGTTCTTTCTAACTTATGGATCTGCTCCTCGGAGGAGGTTGGTGGTTCGGTGAGTGGCGTTGGAGGGCGGACAGGGAGGCTTGTCCTCGTAAGCGGCTGAGTCTAGGCGGAACGGCCGGTCGGAGACTTCTGAATGGCAGGCAGAATCTTACAGTGACTGGTGAGGTCTGGCTTTCAGGCATCTATGGGGTAAGATCCCATGACGTCGTTGGAGAACCAGTAGTCAGGCAACCAGATGAAGTAGGATCCTGAGGGGAGCAAAAAACCAGCAATGAAGCACAATGCAAAAAAAACAGGCAGATCTCAAAAAACTCGGAGCAAAAACTCTGAGGGGCTGGAGGTACCATCTAAGGTTGACACTCTGGCGTCGAAGTACCGGCGTTCCACCCTTCTTATGCTGCCGTCAATTAGGTGATCAGCCTCCGGTGAGGGGATGACATCATCCATGAAATCCCAGCCCGCCACCTCTCGGACTCCATCTAGTGGGGAGATAACTCAGCAACCAAAGGACCACCTAAAAAACCCCAGAACCTAACACAGAGTAATTTAGCATAAAAACTGAATGCTGCTTCTCCATGTTTGGATCTGATCCTGGGGATTACGGAGTAGACCTGAACTAAGAAGACCAGAGTGAACTGGAGTATTGACCTATCTACTATCCACCATGAATATTGTTGTCATTGTGGTGGGGCCGCAGCTGCAGAATCCCACCATCATCTAACGTTGATCAGGGCATCGGTTCAGTTTGGCGTCGGTCGACAAAGTCCTGAGCCCGCTGCCTGTACTTTGAGTCGTCCTTTCCTGCGACGAGGCTGACGACGGCTGAGTCATCGTGGGAACTTGTTTAGATGGCAGCCCGGGGAGTTGACAGAGAAGTCTGCATTTTAGAGGGTGAAGAGGAAAAGGTGCCAGCACAGTTTCCTGCTGGGCCACCGTACTGCGGGCCGGTCTGTCAGACACACAGCCCTGTGTTCTCACATGCCGTGCCCACTCCAGATAGCTCCAGCTCGTACCGCAGAAATCCAGGCAGGATGGCGCTAAAAGGCATCCAGTAGATTTCATCGCACCACAGGAGTATAGCTGTCATGTAATACAGAACGCGCTATTTGTGGAGTCTGTCAGAGTTTCCAGTACAGGATCCGGCTGTACTTGTTGTAATAACAGTTGTAAAGTTCATTAAAAATAACAATGGGAAAAGTTTGTGCCTGCAAATGCAATCTGTCATTCATTTGGCTCAGACACTGAGGACAAAAACTGGGTCATTTCTGCAGCTAATTATCTTTGGTGAGCAGGAAGAGGAGGAGGAGGAGAGTTATTGGCCCAAATCTTTCCAAGACGTCACCAGATTTCTTTGAATAGATAGAGAAATTCAGAGTTTTTTTTCCGATTTTTTTGCTGAGAAGCCACATCAGCCTCATTTTTTGGACTGCTAACTTGACTACAATTCCCAAGCATCGCTGTGGCATAACCTGTGTTGTGTCCCCGTCACTTGTGTTGTTTCTTTTTATGAGTCAGATTCATATTTTTTTGTACTCCTCAAGCAAACAATGTCAACATTTCTAGCGGGTGTGTGTGAAAGAAATTCTCCTCTTCCCCTTTTTACCCTCACCAATTTGTCCAACATATCCCTCGTGCGCGATCTTTGGGTAAACTATAACTTTTCAGTCAATCTTTCTTTATTTCCAGTTGAGCGGCCACACCTCCATTTAACAAAACAATTCAGAAAAAAAAGAAAAAAAGCAAAAGTTGCATGGCAGTTCCTTTGTGTTTTTGAGAAAGCTGGCTCCAGAATCTCATTTTCTGTCCAAAAAGTGTATTTTAAAATGACATTATGCTTCAAAAAACAATGGAAAGGTCAACTGGAATCTATAATGTCTCATGTTTACAACATTCTTGGTTTTCCAATTCTAAAACATGAGAAAAATTGGCCTTAAATACGGTGAAGGTGTGTGTTTTGGAATAAGATTATAAACAAACTGAGGCCCGTTTATAATAAATGTCATAGATTTCAGATCAAAATTGTTTTGCCCTACCTGTGAATTAACTATGTTTGAAACTATGGTGACTGTAAAATCTGTTCCTTACACGTATAAAGGTAAAGAAAATATTATTTGCTCACAGTTTGGAGAGCAAATCCTATCCATATCCCATCATACTCATCCTATTTTATACATTTTGTACACTGCATTTACTTAATTATTATAAATATAATTAAACAGCTTATATGACTTGATCATTTTTTTTTCCACCTCAGGATTCAGTGTTTTAATATTTCATCATCTGATTTATGGGTTTTACCCAAAAGCGGTGAACACAGACATTATTGCTGACTTTCCCAGTCTCTGTAGGTAGCCTCCATCTAACCCTCTCCTGAGAGCCTCCTAATTTATTTCTTGTTTTTTTGCACTTGAAAAGCTAAATATCAAAAGAAAAAGAAAAAAACTAAAATGGAAATATTTGATGTGACAGTCATTTACCTCTCATTCATCCAGAGGCAAACCGCACCAGAATTTATTTTCCACTTTACAAAAATAAATTGGACATGTCAGATGAGTTTACAAAGCAGATGCGGGTGTTTTTATTTATTTATTTAGTGCCACAATAAATCTGAAATATCTGTAATATTATTAAGTGCCTGAGACTGTGACAGTTTATTTGGTGATTTTCACAGCTTTTCAAGTAATGTACACCCTTCTCTGGTTAAAGTTGATTTTTTATTTATTTATTTTTTTGTGAAACAATCCAAACATCTGCTTTGTAAGCTTATTCATCCCCCACACACAACCTTCAATTTGCAGATTATTATTCCTGGTCCATAATCTGCTGTTTCAAACTGCTGAAACTCAGCTGATCACCTGAAAGCAACCGCAATACTGTTGTGATCATTAGATGAAAAAAAAGAAAAAAATATTATTCAGTAATATTGCACAGCAACATTAACATTCCTCTCTCACCATCTCATCAGTGTGATTTTCGCAGTCTTTTTGTTGTTGTTGTTTTTTTTTTTTTTTTAGCTCTGTTAGCCCATCTGGAGAGAAAATAAAATGTTAGCTAACCCTCTGCATTATCTGTGCTGAGCGGATAGAGCAATTATTTATTGATGTATTTTTTATATATTTTTTTTTTTGAGACAGCTGGTGATGACTTAGCAGTAAAACTCACGCACAAGTAAAACTCTGCGATGAACAGCTGGAAAGTAGGCCAAACGTTTTCAAATTTATAGCTATTTAAGTTGCAAAATGACAAAAACTGTGATTTAATTTGGAAAGTGCTTATGCTCATTTTATTTAGTTCTGTGACCTCTGAGTCAGATAAATACTAATCTAAACATCTACTTCTGGAAAATTCCTAAAACATTACAAGTCTGGCTCATTTTCAGCTTTCTGTGAGGTTTATTTGTCTGATTTATGTTTGATAATTACATAAGTCAGAGTATTTGATGTCAGTCTGAGTGAGTTCAGATTAAGGATTTTCCCTAACACGCTACATTACAGCGTCCATATTGTTATTGTGATTTCCTCCCATTCAGCAAACTCACCGATGACATTTTAGATGCTGCAGTGAAAATGAAAAGTTAATACAATGCATCAAACGAACAGCAGGTTTGCTAAAATAGTTTTTTTCTTCTATTCTTTTGTGTGATAATGAGTGGAGTAGAGTCAATGCAAAAGACATCAGATTTGACATATATATATGACATATATATATATATATATATATATATATATATATATATATATATTTTTTTTTTTTTTTTTTTTTTTTTTTTTTTTTTTTTTTGGTTTTTTCTCAGAAACCCCTCTCTTTGGGGGGGGAGAGACACTCTTCTTCTTTTCGCCCCAC